TTCTGTTTTACTGTAGATTCCTGTTAGTACATATGCTAATTTTATTTCCATTCTCATTAATTTTATACTATCCATTCACATTTAATAGATTGGATTTTACTTTGTTCTTTGTCAGTGCTGAGGCTTCTCTTTCCTCTTCTTCTGTATGCATTTCCTTTTTCATCTTTCCCTTTCTTGTTTGTCTTTATCTTATTTCCCATTAGAATTCTTGTTTCTTATAGTATAAATCTTTCTCACATTCCAAGTTGCAGTCTTCATAACATTCTCTTTCTTTTTGAAAATACATACAAATACATTTATTCTTAAATTGTTTATAAATGCAATTATTGTTTGGTTCTAATTTTTAAAATTATGTTTCCTTAATAGTAAACAGTTGTTCAGAATCCAGGAACAAAGTATGTCAGTACCTTTCAAGTTGACAAGAACAGCAATGTTGAGAAGACATTGTGGCTTGAAAGTACCAAAGGTGGTGTCTTGCAGTGTCCTCAGCACTCAACTTGAAAATCCAATTAAATAATAATGACAATTTAATAATTTATTTGTTCATATTAACTTGATATTACAAGTATTGTAACATCATCATACATAAGTAAATATTCAATATTGTTTCTCTAACAGTTTTCACTATTTTATACAATTTTATATAGTGTATTCACAGTATAAATTTCATATAGTTAATAGAAATCATAATATAAACCAAAATTGCGTAACCTAAAGATATAAAATAACTTATCCTGAAGTAAAAAATATTTAATTATTGTAACATTGTTCTCTCTACCTATGTTAATTCCTTAAACTTATACAGGCAAGTTTCAATTAAGTAACTTTTTAGTGCTCGTTTAAATTTATTTTGGCTTTCCTTCATAAGAATAATACAGTGTTTTCATAAGGATCCTTCTTTGAGGAGGATTTTGCAGAGTACATCCTGTGATAGTCTTCCTTTCCTCTTGTATTGTATTGATATACATATTTGTTTTGAATAAAGTGAGTTATTGTTGTTCATGAGCATAATTACCCTACGTGCATAAATTGCAACAGCAGTCATTATTTTCTATTTTTTTAATAAACATTTTTACAAGATTTGTTTGAATGCAGCTGAAATATGCATCTAGAGCTCGTTTCTGTATTATCACAACCCTGCCCATGTTCCCTATAGTGCCCCCCCTCCCAATTTCTATACCATACGGAATGCGAGTGTATTTAATGCCATAAAATACAGTAATGAGCATTTTTACTGTTATAAACTGAGAGATTTCACAGTAAGTAGATGTTAGAATTATTTTTTATGCATATGATATCAATGTCGATTATATGGTAGATTTTGGTCAATGTAGATTACAAGAAATTTGTAGCTTTACACTTGGTGTACACTTTAGTTGTTTATATAAATATTTATGTTGTAATTTTGGTTTTGTTTGTAGTAACTAAATTGTATCATATGTGTTTTGTTTAAGTTTAGATTATTGTCTTAGATATTTAGAGATGTATTGTATCTATCATATTTTCTTTTATTGCTATGGTGTCTTTATTACTATTGATTAATGTTGTCATCTGCATATGAGATCTGTTTATTTTTTGATGATGAAATGTCATTCATTTATATTAGAAATAGTAGTGCCCCCAATACTGATCCATGGAGGTCTCCTGCTGTAACTAGAGCAAAATTAAATTTAACTTTATTTAATTTTTGTTTGGTTCCCAGTAATTTGAACACTTTGGAATGACCTTAGTAATTCATGAATATTGCCTCTTATTTCAATATGTTCTAGTTTTTCAAGAAGTAATTTATGTGAGACACTGTCAAAAGCCTTTAATAAGCCCATAAACCTGCAGTAGTGAAGTTATTATTTTCTAGATTATTGTATATTTTATGAATAAAGTTAGCAACTGCAGTAATAATTTATTTATTTATTAATTATATAATGGATTTATCATTCCTGAATCCGTGTTCATTACCTAACTTTGTTGTTTTTTTCCCAAAGAATTGTACATTCTGACAGCTATCACTTTCTCAAATAATTAAGCAAAATACAACGTAAGAATTATTGGTCTTCAGTTTCCAACTTCAGAAGAATTATCTTTCTTAAATATTGGTTTCACAACATTATTTTTCTGTAAATCAGGAAAAACCATGCATCTAGCGATTTATTAATTAGGTGAACTAAAATTTTACAAGAGAATTCTTGTATTTTTTCACCATTTCTGGTGTAGTATCATCCCATCCACTTGTTTTACTATTATTTAGTGTTACGATCAGTTTTTTAATGTATGTGGTATCTGTGTTGGCTAGATACAACAAATGTTTAACTCTGGAATTTAGACACGTTTCTGTGCAATATTTTATTGCAGTACCTGCATTTAGGAAATTATTATTAAATCACTCGCTTTTATGGTACAGCTTTACGTTATTGTGTTTACTTGTATTTTTTGCATTTCCTATTTTGGTATTAGTTCTGTTCGCTTTTACAATTCTTAATTCAGTTTGGTCCAATTTTCTGTAGCCTTTAACGTGTTTAAATAATGTGAAAGATTGTTTCATTTTTTCTTTAATTTCCATAACTGTATTTGATAGTTTAAATTTTTTGTTTGACAACTGCCTTATTATTATTATTATTATTATTATTATTATTGGACATTTATTATTTAGGTGATTTTGTAATATTTTAAGAAATTTATTCCATTTGTTTGAGGTTTGTTCTGTGTAGACTTCAGTCCATTTTTCACTTTTGAGTGATTCACTGAGTTTAGAAAGATTTTTCTGTGTAATGTCCTATAAATGAGAATTTTATACCTGTTTTGTGAGGTTTACAGTTATGAATGTAATTTATTTGCCCTTCGTGGTCAGAAATATGAAAATCTAGATTATATGCTCGTTAGTTTCTGTTTTATATTGGTTAATACTATGATCTATGTAACTACTACAGTTTTCTGTTAGTCATGTAGGCCCAAGTATTGTCATGAATGTAAATTCCCTCAATTATATCTCTTAGTTTATTTTCTGTTATGTCTAATTTTAATACTCTTACTATTACTATTTTATTATATTTATTTAGTAGCCCTTCAAATGTTTCAAGAATTCTCTAGGGTCTGCATTTGGAGATCTATATATTCCCATGATTTTAATTCCATATCTTTTTGTGTTCAAATTAATTCCAACTACTTCCTGAACCAACTCATAGCTATACTTCTTTATCCATTTAATTACTACACATATCACATTTTTTTCAGTGTATATTGCTACTTCCCTGCTTTTATATGCAAGATGTTAATGTGTAGTTTTCAAACCTGTATGCTTTAATTTCATCTACATATAAACCATGTTGAATAAAGACACATACCTGAGTTTCTGAATCTTGTACGGTATTTTCTATTTGTTAACACTTGTTAATAATACATTGCACATTCAGGTGAAAGACCCTCAAACGGTCTATTTTCCTTAACTATCACTGAATGCATCCTACACTTCTGTCTGCATTCTTAAATTATAATATTTAACAAAGTTGATCATCACAGCAATGGATATATCCTTGTTTTTGTTTAATAAATTCTGAATGATTACTTAGATCATTCGTTTACAAAGATTTTTTCTATTATCATTTAGATGTAGACCACGATGAAAGAAATAATTGTTGCTGTGTATAAAAAAAAAGTTTAACACTTGATAGAACCTTATATTTTTTAAGATTTAAAAGATTCTAACTACCAAAAACACTAGTCTGGGGAAGGAAACCAAATTTGATTGACAAAATATAAAAACAATAGAGCAATATCTGGAAAATTAGTTAGATGCAAGGTCATCCTGTGAGATAATAGTTTCGGAGATCCCCACGACTACTTTAGAAATACTAAATAAAATATACGAAAAAATACTGTGTAATGGTTCTAAATCTTCACATTACTTTTTAAACATAATCCTTCTAATGTACAAATATTTTTCTTAAATGTTTTACTGATAAATTTAATATCAAAATTGGCTATTAGAACTGCATTATTACAGCATCCAATTATAATAAGAATTTGCCAGAATAAGTTGAAGCTGAAAGAATTTGTCCACAAATATAGATTGGTCAAAATTTTCAACACATCCCCACCCTTTAAAAAATTTGGAATTTAACCAGGAAGCAAGATAGTAAATATTTTACTAATTGGATCATAGACTTTACAAGTCAAACTATGTGCTAGATCATCCAGTACAATGACAGTGAACTACAGGCTATTTTACTATGTTTACTAAGAGTCATTACTTTGTTATTTATTTTTTATAATATACTAGAAACAGGTTCACAAATAGGGTTTCCCTAATGTAAATGTAAATTGATATACAGTAATTGATGTATAAAAGTTCTGTCTGAAATGTGTACATAAAATTGTGACTCAAAATGTGTATTAATCCTTGCAGGGTGGCCTGAAAAGGGGGGGTGGGTAAAGTTTGAAAATTTCATTGAAGTGGACATGTTGGAGAGATATCAGGGAATATTTAGAAGTTGAAATTTTTTGACACAAAAAAAAATATTTTCCCTAAAATAAGTAAAGTAATGTACTGAAAATGTGGTCACCCCGTGGTCTTATACCACATTGTATTGAGTACTTGGCTACTTAATAAACAAAATATTGCAACTGGCAACACACAAGTAGTGCACAGTAGAATTTTAATTTTGAGTGCTGGATCCAGCTGGTCATTTACCAAAAGTGTTTGAACTTTGTTTCCTGGGAATTTCTCATCAGAATTCAAAACCCCCCTGAAGTTTCTTGCTTTATTTCCTATTTGACAAATAATTCTACCACCAAATCTGTATTCTTTACAATATCTGCATAAATGTTCTACTGTATTAGTGAATATCCAGAAAAAAATTACTGTCGTCCAACTTGGATCCTCCAAAACTATAATAAACCAAACTAATAAAGCGGCTTTATCCACTCTAAGTCAAACTGACAAAACTGAAATCAGGGTCATTAGTGTTCTAATTATCCAGTCTCCTGTTACGGACTATCAACAAGTGTTAGCATTCCCAGGTTGAATAGACAAATGTAATATTGTAATTACACAATAATAATATATAATTCTAGAAATTTGTACAAAGTGAATAAAACTTTCACCCATCTTGTAACAAGATGTGGTATGACACATGTAAATAACTTAGTACACCAATCTCTTCAAAATTCAGTAATACTGTTAAACAGAGAAGTTGAAGGGGTCAGAGAAGTCAGCTTAACAATCAACGAATAACACACAAACTTTATTTTACAAAACGCATGCAAGTTATGCACTGTAATTAAATCAAAATAGAATTTTTCTGATTTTTAAGCCTTCTTTCCATTTTCCTAATTCCACTTCATTTTGAGTGTATATTAGTGATTAAAAAGAATTTAAGAATTTGACAATGCCATAAAAAGTCTCCAACAAACTATGCAGAAAACGCCTAAAATACATTACTAAAAATTAATAGCATTAAATTAACAGCAAATTAAAAACAACGCTTCACAAAAATTACTTGTGACCACTGATTATATGTGCAACAAAGTTAGATAGCTAAGTAGGGAAACAATTAACTTTTAAAGATTTTTTTAAAAATATGTTGCACATGTTAGTTCTCTATGGGCATTGAGTGTAACTACAGTAATCCTTGGAAGCATAATGCATGAACCTCTCGTCAAAATATTGCATAACATGTCCACAGGAAAATTTTTCATGAACCATTTCTACAATATCAAGAGCAATTGTTTGAAATATCTCATTTTTTTACTACTCATAATTTTTTACTACCATGGAAATACAGAAGTATCACCCCAGAAAGTTTTGTACAGAACAAGTTTAAGTGTAGACTTTTTCAGAATACAAATCTAATTTATTTTTTACATTGCCATTATAGTAATATTACAGTTTACGATATGAAATTAATGTGATAAAGGCAGCTATTTCAGTGGAAGGAAAAAAAAAAATTAACACGGATCAACAACTATCTTTAGCTAGTTGGGAGTCTTTTAACATAAATCACTTTATTACACACATTCTACATTGTCTCTCAAGTGTGAAAGGGTTGTTACATCCTCAATGATTTATAAATTGCAAGAGATAAAGATTTTTAACCAAATCTCCATACATCATAAATTCCCCAAAGAAAATAAAAGCAAAATTTAACCAAATCTCCATACATCATAAATTCCCCAAAGAAAATAGAAGCAAAATTTAACTTAGTTGCTTTCTAATGAAATACTGCCATAATTCCTAATAAATTGTTCTTTTAAGCGAAATAAATTAGGTATGAAACTATTTCTTTAAATAGTCCAATCCAAACAGTTGAATTATCCACGTTTGTGAAACAAGGATTTCAGAGTTCTGGGAATTTTATTATTAGTACTTTCAACAATGCAGCGACATGGTTAAACATCTCAAAATGCAGCTTTGATTGATCTCTTTACAAGTAAAGTCAATCATTCTTTTGTTTTGAAAGGTATAAAAAAAAAGAAAAGTTTCAAAGACATTTCAACGCAATGTTTCCATACATGCATTCTTGAAAAATTGCATTAAGCTTTCATTGCAAATGTTATAAACACTGAAAATAAGAAAAAACTTAAGTTTTCTCTTCATCATTTTTTTTCCCTATCTTCTGAGATTCTTTGGCCAATGAAAACGAAGTACAAAAATAAATAAAATAATAATTAATACTGTTTTTCGTTAATAAATACATGCAAGAAATCAGTCTTCATGAAGATTTTGAGCAGTAGATGAGATAGTAGGATGTTGAGTGGCTGATTTTCTTGGCAAAAAATGTGCTAGAGCACTGTTTTCTGGACTGTTCTGTAGTAGCCCATAAACTTCAATGAAACCAAGATAAGCCACACCCACTGTAGCAGCAATGGTGACGAGTATGATTAGAATGGCCAGAACAAAGCCACACAAAAGAACTGAGCCCACTGTCAGAAGTGTCCCTATAGGATCAGAGAGGCTATTAGGTCGTTGTAGAGAAGCTATTGTAAAGCTTGTATTGGATGAGTTACTTCTACCCTGGTAAGTGGTCCATAATAGATATTAAAATATGAGAGACAAACCTTCAATGACAATGAAGCCAGCAAATGTGAAGAGAACTGTCAAGATTGCAAAGACAACAAACATGAGAACAGGAATTCCACAGGATATAGCCACAGCAATCACTACTACAGTTAAAATAGGATGTTGTGCCAAATAAATAGCAGCTTCATCCATCATCTCATACAAGTGAAGATCTGTCATCAACTTTCGCCCACTGGCCACAAGTCTGTCTCCTGAAACATACGTATGTAAATAACCCCTCGACGAAATACACAAATACGACACTTTTCAATACTTACGTAGCATATTGAGGTACATAATAACAATCGATGTAAAAGTTTCTGCCTCAAGGCTGTTGGCGTGTTCCCTTGGTGGAGGCTTAAAAAGAAGTTTAATCTGTCAATTTGTTTCATTGGAGAGACAAAATATCATTGAAAATGAAACTGCAATCTAACATTTTGAATGCTCACCTCTTTTGGAACACTAACGCACATTAATACCAATTAAATGTTCACAATTATTGCTGCAAAACACACAACTTGCCACGAAAAGTGCATAAAATAGAATCGGAAATGGAAAAAGTCAATGCGCTTGTTACAGAGTCAAACAATTTTTAGGAACTCTGCCGAGGACGATGTCTGAGTTGTTAATTTTGGCCTTTTAGACATTTTCCACAGAGTATAGTTTGTCTATGCATTATATATGGCATTACACAGCAATTACAACGGAGCATGCGGGTATGATATTTCATTTGTTATGGTTCCTACGCCGGGTACATGCGTGCGTCGCTGTTCCTTTCCAGGCCCGTATATTCTTCACAAAAGTAAAATGCGAAGAATGTTGGATATTTTAAATGCAATTCTGTAACTATTAAGTGATCTCTTCTTGTTTTGTTGTTTTATGTTTTACGTACGTAGCGTTACGCATCAGTTATTGTGCTGTATTATTATTCACACTTTTAGATTTACGCAATCATCATCATACTATCTAATCATCGTGGGGATAATCAGAACTGAGAATGTAGCGCTCGGAGATGCTGTTGAACCGTGATGAACCGCGGAACAGATTAGCTTTCCTTTATTCTTGCCGCGAGTGTACATCGGGAACAAGCAGAATAGACTCGCTTGTTGATGCTGTTACTTTCATAAGTTTCAAACAATTTTCTAATGACATTGCTACTAGATAGCACAGAAGCCTAATATACATTTTTAGAGTTTATTGTCGCTTTAGTGGTCATGACTTCCGCGGCTTCCAAGTAAATAAATTCAGAATTTCTAGTTTTTCTTCATTGAAATACCAAGACATTTCTGGCACAAACTCATGTGGTAGCTAGAAGGCCAGAATATTAATTCTGAAGTTTTCTCTGGTTAAAGCTAGCAACCCTAACGAATTATCAGCTTCAGTTATCGTTTCAGAAGCTGACTCAGAATCCGCATGACGTACACTGCATTTTCTGCAGGCGGAATTAGTGGTTACCTCGACCGTGATTCATTGCGGTCGATTTACAGACAGTTCCCGATGTTTGTGTTGTGCGCGCAACGAGATTCCTGAATAATTGGAAACATATTGCAAAGGCAACTGATGGGATGATTAGTAGCCCGCTGCAAGCGAGGTCGGGTGTCAGCAGCGCCGAGCAGCCACGGGGTGGACGAAGAAGAGAAACGCATAAGAAAACGTAAAGGCGAATTGTCGCCTGTTTTCCAGATCGACTGGGCTGGAGCACCGCCGTCACTCAGAAGCGGAGCTAGGCGCAAGATGGCGACCGTCTTGCGGTCGTGTTCGTGTTGTCTTCAGTTCAAGTTAAGCCCAGAAGAAATAGAACAGAGACATAAAAGTCAAGAAATTGACAGATTGTTGGAGAAAGAGAAGCAAGCTCTCAGACGGCAAGTTAAATTACTGTTACTTGGTGCTGGTGAGAGTGGGAAATCGACTTTCCTCAAACAAATGAGAATTATCCATGGGGTAAAGTTCGAGCCTGAGTTGCTTAAAGAGTATCAGCATATCATTTATCAAAATGTATTGAGAGGCATGAAGGTTTTAGTGGATGCTCGAAACAAACTAAACATCCCTTGGGGAAATTTGTCTAATGCGGATTATGGGCACGAAGTTATGAAATCTGATAATAGTGCTATGTTAGATGCGAGACTTTTTGTGAATTATGCCCCTTTAATTCGTAGTTTGTGGCAAGATACAGGAATTCGAAGAGCATTCGAAAGACGCAGGGAATTTCAAATGGTGAGTGATCATCTTTAGTATTGTGCTGTAAATGGTAGCCTAATACCAGTATTTTATATTTTAATGGTCACTGCAGAAGATCTGGGTATACAGTGTTTATAGCCAAACCCTAGTAATTTAACTCTTTGATGGTTTGTGTTCACGAGAATACTTCAAATTACTTTACATTGATGCTGAGAGAAATTAAGTTTATTTTTGACATTTCAAAGAATAAACTTTTATTTACATTTCAGATTGATTCTCTTCCTTATTTTTGTGAGAATTTGGAAAGGATTGCTAGAACGGTAAGTTTAATATGAATTTTAGGAAAATCTGATAATGAAACTAATTATATTTGCAATTACTGTACTCTCTAATTTTTTATAGGACTATGTTCCAAATCACCAGGACATTTTGCATGCCAGAAAAGCAACAGAAGGTGTATCAGAAGTAGTAGTTCACATAAATGACATTCCATTCAGATTTGTGGATGTTGGAGGTCAAAGATCCCAGAGGCAGAAATGGGTTCAGTGTTTTGACAGTGTCACATCAATTTTATTTCTAGTCTCCTCTTCAGAATATGATCAAGTCATCTGGGAAGACAAGTATGTCTTTTTCAATTTTTTTTCTTTTCATAGAAGTGTAAATGTAGTTTTTGTTGTTTAAGGTGTAATTAAGTGTCAGGAATCCTGTCTAAGTATGATACCTCTATGCCAGGGGTGTCCAATTTGAAAGTCATATTTTTGCGTGTCATATTTTCGTTATTCGGGCGATGTGCACATAATCTCCTCCAGTTGTTGATCGGGGGAGATTCTTAAATCTAAACTTACTCAATTTTTACATTAAGGGAGTGTTGATCCCGACAGGACTTGTGCACTAACCACAATTTTCTTGACCAACACAGATGCATGTGATTTTTGACTTATGACAAATACCCTTTTGCGGGCCACAATAAGTGACACTTCGGGCTGCCAATTGGACAGCTCTGTTCTATACAACAGATAAGTTTTGATAAGAAGCAATTGACACACAATTCTGTATGTGTGCTAATACTGGATAGGGAATTGCACCCCAGTTCTGCATCCAACAGATTTAAGATTTCTAAAAAACCTGAAGCTTGCAGATTGACACATAATACAGATTACTCCAACACGTATTCCAATTGTGCTTAGCTCGGAAGCTATGTGTCCAAGGCTCTTAAAACAGTGTTCCCTAAGGGCACAAGTTTTGTGAGGGACAGGTGAGTTCTGGGGGGTCATGAGTTTTGGGGACCAGGTGGAGCCCAAATGATGTTTCTTAAGCAAGAATTCCACTAAATGAGATGCTATTGAACTTTCTATTACAGTTTTACAATAAGTATAGTGCTTTCAGGTGCTCCCATTTGATGCCATGGAATGCAGAAATCCGATTTCTGTATAAAATTAAATTGAAGGAAAAACATAAAAATAATCTTTCTTGATAAAATTAAAGGGATGTGATTTTCCATGCAATTTGATCCGGATGCTTAGCCACATTAGCCTTATTAATGGATATTCTCTCAGGACCAATAATGCTGTAAAGCACAGTTCATAGCTGATCTTTTGAAGTTGGGATGTACCTCGTAGAACCTTCCCTTTTTAAAATAATTTTTTGCAATTTGCCAATATTTTGCTCAGGTCCAGTTGGTGTTATTTATTTCAGTTTTCAGAAGGTTTTGGGAAGTTCATCAGTGGCCCTGAAGGGCACTAAGTATGATAGATAAAATTGGACAATTGAGAAGATCATTAGATTGAAAGTAATATTTGGGTGTAGTTTGAAAAGTAAAATTTGAGGAGCAAACATTCTAACACGTGGCATGTCCACTTCACTCTTTTCCAGAAAAATTACAAAAATAGCACAAATGTTAACCTTCTTCAACTTGTTTAGATATGAGCTCTAAGTGAGAAAGGTTTTCATATATTTAAAGAATGGAAATTTTTGCTCATGTGCAATTCATTGTTTTTTGTGACAGTATAGAAAATGAAATTAGTGAAAATTCCTAAAGGGGAAATGTCCTCTAAAGTAGTTGCACTGAGTATAGGTATTGTGGTGAGTTATCATTGGCATTTCTAATGAAATAATTATATGCATCGGCATTGCCAACAATATTATTTATTAAAAAAGCAGCTTTCTTAATAAACATGTGTACAACCAAAAAAATCTATGACTTTTTTGACAACAACCAGACTGAAGAACTTCCCAATGACCCCACCAAGAAGTATCGTTGCCATTTTAAGCAAGAACTTAACAATTCACAAGCTTTTTTTTCCGTATCCCAAACAATACATACCAACTAACCCTTCTCCCCCTAGACCCTATGGCCTTCCAAAATTACATAAAGAAAATACTCCCATCAGACCTGTAGTTTCTTACACTAACACATTAACACACAAACGTGCTCATAAATTAAATATCCTCTTCCATAAACACATTCAGTTCAAACCTACATATACTGTTAAAAAACAGCCTCGATCTAATAGAAAAAATTAACCACATTCCTGTCCCACCATATGCAAAACTAGTTTCATTTGATGTAAAGAATCTATTTCCTAGTACTCCAACTGCTGATTGTAAATTACTTTTACATAATTTACTAGACAAATCGTCATGTCCCATTCCCGTTCGAGATGAACTTCAAATCTCTTCAACCTATGCATGGACCAAAATTACTTCACTTTTGACAACAAATTTTATAGACAAACTTCAGGAATTCCTATGGGCTCACCGATCTCTCTCTCCTTGCAGAAATATTTATGGATGCTTTCGAACAGACCATCTTCCTTTCAAACCATCCACTTCTCAAGAACATTACATATTGGCACCGTTACGTAGACGACATCCTTGTTCTCTGGACCGGTACGACTAGACAAATTGACCTGTTTACTGACTTTCTCAACAACACACATCCTACTATTCAATTCACTACAGAAAGAAGATAAATCTATCAATTACCTAGACTTAATATAAGCATATCTGGAAACAAACATACTTTCAACATTTTCAGAAAATCGACATACACACTCATCCACAACTCTTCACAACATCCTATTCAACATAAACATTCTGCCTTCCACTACGTGATACACAGATTACTAAGCCTGCTCCTGACAAAATCTCATTTTCTGGAAGAACTGAACACCATACAACACATTGCTATGTCTAACAGTTACAGCACAGAACTCATTAACAACATACTACACTGCAAAATAGTCAAGCAGAAACAAAAAATGTACATTACACTTTCTCCAATAACACAAACACCGGACAAGTACACTTGCTTACCTTATTTTGGACCCCTTTCAGAAAAAGTCGCACACAATATTCACAAAGCAAGTATCAAGGTTTCATTCAAATCACAGAATTTCCTCAAAAAAATGCTGACCCCCAAAAAACACAGATCTTCTAGAAAGAAGCGCCTTCTATTCACTAAATTGCCATGACTGCGAAGCCAAATATATTGGTCAAACAGGCAGAACTTTTATTACCAGAATTAAGGAACATATACATGCTTGGAAACACAACACCTGTAAATCTTACTTTGCCAATAGGCCACTCCACACAGGCCATACATTCAATCCACACAAACATTTGTATACTGGAAATAGAAAATCACTACCACTCCAATTATCTTTAGAAAACCTGTATATTCATTTAAATAATAACTTATTGAATGAAAACATAAACCATAGCCCTTCTCCTCTACTAAAATTATTAGTAGACACCACTCGCCCCACTATGCGTTGTCGTTTTTGTGGCTTCCATACAGCAGGTAAGGAATGGCTCAACTTACATTTCTATGTTTTCTGTTTCAAATTTTATGTGTTCTAATTCTATTTCATTCACTTTCATTTAGTATTAAATGACTTACCCCCCCCCCCCTCCCACACACACACACAATTTTCCAAAGGGTGCAAGTTATTAGTAACCTTTATTATAATTTCATTGTCAAATCAAAAAAAAATTCACGTTTTAATGTTCTTGTTTTTCTTCTTGTACTAGAAAACTGATGATGGCTAAGCCATCCAAAGCTGCTTTGTTAATAAATAATATTGTTGGCAATGATGACGTATTTAATTACTTTATTTGCACAGAGTATACAATTTTGGTGTTTGATATTTTGTTTTTATGTTAATGTGGTTAATAATTTTCCGTGTTTTTTGTCATCCTATAATCTTATATTATTATTGCATTAGTTCCAAATATCAAACCAGAAATTTCACAAATAACACTTTTAATTGTGTCGTACACCACACGACCAGTGGTGAATCCAGCAAGGGGGATGCCCCCAACCACACAAAAGGCCAAGAAAAATTTTCTAAAATTTATTTAAATATGTATTGATGTTCGAATTATATAATTATTTAAACAATATTGTGTAGTATTATAATTACAGTACAGAAATAATATACAATATAATAACTAATGTGTTCATTATTTAACATAAATCTATGATGGCCCTCTCCGAAAGGATGGGCTGGATCCGCCCCTGCACATGATTATGTATTTTATTTTTTGATGTTCTTTTCATGAAGTGTGGAAATATAGATATTATTTAAAAAAAGTTAATGTACTATTGCTATTCATGTCAGTTTACATAATGCCCAGAATTAAATATAAATTATAACGTTCTATAAATAACTGTACACCATATTCACATACTCCATGTGCAATTAATCTCCCAACTAAAGGGTTGTCTTCACTGTTAATAAATGGAAAAATTGTTAGGGGGATTTATATCAAAATGGGAAAGCAAATTCAACTCTTAGTGCGTCTTAATTTTTACTTCATTGTATGTGTTAGTGATGTATTGTTCCTGAAAAGTATTGTTGCAATTTTGATGTAAAGGCATTCTTTCCCTGACACCAAAAAAGGTTTTAAATTTCCTCTTTTACTACTGTGTGAAAATATAATAATGCTAAAGGGAAAGCCACAATTCAAGAGAGACAAGTGTATTATTAGGTTTTACTATTTTATTCTGTATTCTCAAATTGAGGATGCTCCTTGACAATGAAATTTTTGAATTTTATGTTAACCTTGTGGTTTTGTTTCATGCAGACATGAAATTCAGGTATGTGTATGTGTGTTAGAGAAGTGTTCAATGTTGTGATTCATTAGTGCTTCTAAATCATATTGTCCTTTTATTGAATACATCCTAAACACTGGTAATACTGTTTTTTTCAAATATTTCACAATACGTAAAATTTTGTAATCCTAAAAAACATTTTTCTAATTTTGTATTTAAGGACATTTTTTTATATTTTGAACATTTAAATTAATACATTTTTAACAAATCGAACATTAATTAAATTATTATTGTATGGTGTAATTCTGTAATAATAATTACGATAAAGTATGAAAGAAGGGAATACTTAGCTAAGCAAAAAAAAAATTGAGCTATAGTTCAATGTGATTCACTTGTGCTCTTCATTTACTTGTTTCCGTATCCCAACCTGCTGTTACATTCAGAATTTGGGTATAAGTATTGTAAAACTGAAATACAAATCTCTTCTGTGTGTTTATTTATTTTTATGGATGGCGTAAAGCTCTGCAAGAAATTCTAACCCAATCCACACTGTCTACAAAATAAATTGTTTAAGGACCTTGCAATAGAGGCAATTCACCTGTGAATATTCAATCAGAAGTGATTCCAGTGAGCATTAAGACCTTGGGATCTTCTCTAAAGTCTTTAAGACGCCTCTCAAAACAAAACGCAAATGTCCGGAAATGTGAAGGATTTTCTGTTTTAAAATAGACACCTCTTATGTAATCTGCAGAAAGTATGGTTGAAACAAGCCTCTCGGAACTCTTCTAAGGAAATTTGGCTACAACCTAAAGTGGTTTTCAGTTGAATTATCTAATTCTAAACTCCAACCATGAAGAAATCTGAACCCATCAAACGTTAACTGCTGAAGTGATCCTTAAATCAAAGGTTGCATATGAAATAGCTCAGGTTGAGGCAATTTATGGGGCATTTCAGATGAAATGACACTCTGAAACATTTGAACACCGAATCTCAGGATACGAAGCTCTCTTGTAATGGCTTCAAAGCAAGAACACAGGTCTTTTTCTTAATCATCAAGATACTTATGAATGGTTAGATAATTATTTCCAAGCGATTCTATACTGCCCCTTTCCAATTGCAAAAGAATCCACAAATGATGTAATTTATCACCTAACTTCTTCTCATGTCAAAATCATCAGGTCCCTCCCCATTAACAACCCATTGGGCATATCTTACATCTCTGCTGAGCTTCTAAAAATGGCTAAGCTCCAGTTTTGTGGTCTAAATGGAAGCGCTCTTCTAATGATTTCTGGAGTACGAAAACATTCTGAGTCAGTGGCAAGTGACTCATTCGTTTTTTCTGCAAGGAAACAAAAAAGTTAGACGTGAACAAGCATTTCTCATCTCCTGGTGACCTAGAAATCATTTCAGATTCAGGTTGTATCAGTATTGTTGATCCTCAGTGAATATTTGTATTCTAAATGACCCTTTCATGCAGTGAATAAATCTGATTAAAGGTTATCAAAATTAGATATCCTTGGGGTAAAAACTCACATAGTAACCTATAAGGATTTCAAAAAAGGCCAGTGCTTCATTTGACTGAGCCACTTTGCTAAATATCTTAAAAGAAGTGGGCATAGTTGAAATGAATTGAGAGGCATAAATTACTACTTGCAAATGAAATTCTTGGGAGAGCTATCAAGATCATGTTGGCAATGGTGATGGATTATCACCATTATTTCAGTTGTCCTCAAAGTCATCCATAAATGAAGAAAAGGGCTAATCAGTAAACTTTTTAAATTCAGCAGGTGCCTCAAAGTAGCCAAATTGTTGGTTGCAGCGCCAGTTGTTGGTTTTGCTTTTATAGATGGCTTTGTCATCTGTAAAATAGCAGACATCACTTCTTGAATTGAGGTTGAAATTTTAAATAAAGCAGCAGAAACCACAAATTTTTAGCTTTATTGATTTATTTTTAAAGGAAAGTGCAAGCAACTGACAATTAAAAGTGTACATAATTTTCTTTGAGTAAATTAAAAGGAAAAAATGTGACTCTCAATCCCAAGAAATTTCTTACGTAAAACACAATTGCGGTGATGTCAAATACCTCAAATTCAAATTTCTACTTCAGTTTGTCTAAAAAAGGTGTAAGATATTGTGCATTTCATATAAGATAAGGGCTTTGTATAACTGTGGTTCAGTTTCCTGTGATTGTCAAGCTATTTTAGAAAATGCATCAACAACTATGCTTTAATAGCCAGGCCACTGTATAATTGTTCAAGAGCAAATAAAATGTTTGTTTGGGATAGAGAAAGAAAATGCAATCAGAATTTTGAAGAAAACCCTGACAATTGCACCAGTATTTGCAGTCCTGAATCAAACACATTTTCCAACACTGAAGCATTAACTGAACTACTTGAAGATGCATTTAAGGAGGGATTCGATGCAGAATTGCTACAAAGATTCTCGGAAGTGAAAAGATTTACACTTCTAAATTATGACAGCCACACGACTTCAAATGCTGAGAAGAAAAGCCAGTCCTGTAAACTTGACATGCTAGCAGTGATAATCTGTGTAAATTTCAAATGTATCTCTTAAGTATTAATTTCAAAATTATCACAGATAGTCTAGTATTTAAAAAAACTCTAAACAAGAAAAATGTCATGTAAGGTAACTAACTAGGTGTGCTCTGAGGACGCGCAGATTTTCTTATGTGTTGGAAATGCTGAATTTACATTTGAACTGATCATTGTCTAACAAGGCTAAGTCATATTTTTCTTTCCCGATTGAACATTAAATGTGTAAATTGAGTTAAGATGATTGAGTGATAAGAGTTTATTTAACTTGCCACTTCTTTGAAGTTTTGTAAGGAATATAAAATTTTCTAATTATTTTTATATTTAAATATAATTAGAATTTTACTGCATGTTATGAGTGTAGAACTAATAGTTTTTCTTTTTTATTTAGAACTACAAACAGACTGGAAGAATCTCGGACTATTTTTGCAACAATTGTGAATAACATGGTGTTTCGAGAAGTATCAATCATTTTGTTTATCAACAAGACTGATCTCTTGGCGCAAAAATTGCAGAGTGGTGAATCAGACATTCGTACTTTCTTTCCTCAGTTTGAAGGAAGCTCTTGGAATCTTGCTGATGTGCAAAAATTTATTTTGTCTTTATTTCTTGTTTTAAAGAGAGATCCTAGACGAGTTTTGTTTCATCACTTCACCACAGCAGTTGATACTGAAAATATCAAACTTGTGTTCAATGCTGTTAAAGATACTATTTTATTTCGAAACTTAGAATCTCTCATGTTACAGTGATTATATTTTGTTTTGGTTAATGTTTACGAAATGTGTTATGTGCCAGACAGCATTCTTACATATTTTAAATTTATATTGAAATGATCCAGATCTGATTACCTGGATATATCCAAATTTTGTTAAGCTCAGCGTACACATCTTAAACATTATTTCACTAGCTTGGTGCTTTGTATGTTTATATTTGTATAATAATTAATGCAGTCTCCAACCTGCAACTTAAAACCGTGATTTTATACTGGAATGCTAATTCGTATAAACCTTTTATGATATGCCCCTTTTGATGCTTCATTGTGATTTAAAAATATTAAAAACTTCAAGAAATTTATTTTACAGTAAATTCTTGAATCTACTTAATCATCAAACTAGTTTTTTTTCTCAAAATATACAACTTTTGTTGTAATCAACTTTGTAATTACATTTTCTACTTACTTCTCTGCAGTATTTTTGCAACCCGTGAACACTTCCTAACTGAACCATTTATGTACCAGAAGTGTAAAAAGCAAGAAAAATTAAACTTACAAATTGACGTTTATATTGGAGACAGCTAAATGGTGTTGTTAATGAATATAAGAAGACTGAAATCTCTATTACCTGTAACTATTGTTATATTAGTGAAGAAATTATATTTCCTATGGTTCCCCTGTAGATATTGATAACTGAGGTAAATGAGAGAACTTCAACACTTAAGGTACATTCCATATGATAAATCATTTCATTATTTTTATCTTGAGAGAAGTTTATTTTCAGAAACATTTTTGATAAGCTTTTGGAGTTCTCAGTATTGATGGGTTTTTGGCATTAAAAGTGTCTGGAAGGTGGTTTTTGATGTTTTTTACCTCAATAAATGGATACTCTTAAAGATATTAGGTCTGTCTCAATTTGTTTTTGATTAATTTTTTTAATATATTTTCACAAATTATATGAATCACTAGTGGCATAAAAGTAATGTAGGCTAATTTGTATTCAAATGTTCTGCTATTTTTAGTTACAGGAATTGTGTTAAACATAAGACAATGACATTACAGTTGAACACTGCAGTTGTAAATGTTCTGGCAGCTGAAATGTCATAAATTAATGTCTGTAGTTGGCAACTGAATTTTGAAATAAGATTTTCTTACACATTCATGTTTTTAAAATAATTTTCATTGCATTCTATTGTTCATTAAAGCATAACTACTGTTTACTTATCCTCAGAGGGAAATTAATAGAACTTGAGTGCCTGGTTCAGTTTCCCACATTTGTTAATTCTGTTGACAGTTAATTAAAATATTACTTGTTTTCCTCATTTTGTAAATATTTTATGTATACCTGTATATATGCATACCAAAGTTGTTATTTTTAATGTTCATGTTCAAATTTGTATAGAAATAATGTAAATATAATAAAAATGTTAATGTAATGCTCAAAATCTCAGATTGAATGTTAGCTAAACAGCCTTGTTATATTCAATGTTGCCAAGTTCTTTAAAATTTTGTGGTCATACTCAGGGCATATATTTTTTATGCTGTAAAGAACTTGTTCTCGTGACAATGATAGTCTGTAGAGAATAATTCCAAACTGTGCTTGCATTAGTGCCCTGTAATGTAATGATATATATAATATACTTCATTCATGTATTGCCAAAGAATTTCAATAATCATCATATTTCTTGTCTTCCAATCATAATACAATCTACATGGTGTTCAATTAAACAAATGTATAAGCTATGAGATTCAGATTGTAATTGAATGGCTTATTTGACTATGTTCTGTGGGCCTGCAACTGAACATAGTGTATTTACGCATTACATGTTATCTTTTATTGTAATGTTGTTTTATATATAAATATTTCATTCTTGGTGTTAAGTTTGTTTCATTTTATGTACCTTTTTATATCAATGACAAGTGAATATGAGCATATGGTTAGCTAATTTCACTATTTTTGATAATGAGGCAACTGGAAACTTGACATGTTAAGATATCTTATAAAGCTTTGTGCCATAGAAGATCCACAACAATCATTCTTCTGAAAACTAGAGTTAATAAAAATAATTTTCCTTAAAATGGCTTCAAATTGTTTTGCTCCAGTAAAGAAAGTGTATGTTATCGTCTGATTTTCAAAACAATTTGCTGATTTTCTGTTAAAATTTATGAAAGAGAAAGTTGATTTCTATGGCAGAAGTGACATTTTCATTCATATATATTTGAATATTAGATACTGAAATATTTTTCAAACAGTTTGCACAATTGATTTATATTATAATTTAGTGTTTGTTTTTATTTAGTGGACGCAAATGCTTCAGATTTCTTGAAATCTGAAAATTTTGAGTACAAATTTCTTGGCTAGTTATCAAGTAGGTTAATCCAGAGATGAATTTGGAAGGGGAGGGTGTATGTCTTTATATTTATGTATAAACACAAAGATAATACAAATTATGCACGAGATAAATTACATTCATCTGCAACATTCTAACTAAAATGATTCTAGATGCATGATAAATGTAACTTCAATTTAACTTTTCCCCAAAGCACTCCACACAGTTTTTAACTGTTTTTTATGTAAATAAATTCTGGGGGTTTCTTCAAAATAGGTATATAATTAGATAGGTAAAGTTAATCCCGATTTTGAAAATACAAACTATATCACATGCCAATTTTTCACAATTGCGACCTTTATGATCAGTGTATTGGACATATCTAGATGTTACTTCTGTTGAAAGGAAGGAAATACCATGAAATTCATTGTCAAAGTTGTTAACACAACTGCAGTACGCAACAATACTTCTTTTACATTTACATTAATTCATGTTGAGTAAACTATCAGTTTTTAGTTAATGAGCACTTACATTTTTGCGTGGATGATTTATTTGCTTTATGTGTGTGTTTTGAAATAATATGCCTTCCAGATAATGTAAAAATAATCCTGACATATTTTGTCACATTTGTTGGAGTTTTGTGGCAAGAAAAAGAAGACAGAACATCACAAACTTTGTTAAAAAGGCAATACCATGTCCACTTTGGTATGAAGCTAGGAGATCTGGACAAAAAATGGGATCCCAAAAAAGGGTGTTATACTTGTGTTAAATAATTAAGGAAATTGAGTCAAGGGGGGAAAAATGGTATGCCTTTTGGTGTTCCAATGATATGGCGTGATTCTTGAAATCATGTAGATAATTGTTATTTCTATGTACGTGACGCTAAAGGCTATAATTCAAACAGCTTGAAAAATAGCGTTTATCGTATTCTCTTGTCAGCAAAAAGACCCATCGCTTATCAACCAGCTTTTCCTGTGCCTTCTCCGTCAGTAACATTTGGAAACGTATGACCTTCAGACTGAAGACAATTGCAGTGATCCAGATCCTGTTCAAGAAGAGGATATCAAGCATTCTCAACAGATCACACAAAAGGAACTTAATAATTTGATAAGAAACTTAGGTCTTTCTAAGGTTACTGCTCAAATCCTGGGATCAAGACTAAAAGAAAACATTTGCATGGTATAGACGCCGTGAAGAGCAATTTGTCCCGTACTTTTCTAAAGAAGGTAATCTTGCATACTGCCATGATATTGCCATTCCTATCATGATATTCCTCGTGAAATCTTTGAGAGTTAAAAAATACATTACAAATGAGCAGAGGCTTTTTATAGACCCCTCAAAAGTGAGTGGGGAACCTGTTTTCTTATATAATGGGAACAAATATTTGTTTGTTGCAGAGCACAATCTAACTACTAGACTAAAAAAGATCTTAGAGAGGAATTCTTGTGCCAAGAACCAAAAATATACTGTATGACAGTCTTGTAAACTCAGAAAATGTTCGTCCTCTACACTTGGGACTGGTGGGACAAACTGGGACTTGTGGAGTAATTTGTTTAGTCTTTAAACAGGGTGGTAACTGTTAACAAATATATATGTAAGACATTTCCAGGAATATTTTATGCAAAGGTTAAAGAGGGGATATTTGTTGAATCACAGACAAGGAAATTGGAAAAAGATACTATATTTGAAGAATCAATGACAGACCAAAAAACCAGCATGGCCGGCTTTCAAGAAAGTCACTAAAAACTTTCAAGGAAATCACAAGGGTTCAAATTACAAAAAAATTGTTAATATAATAATAAAATTTGTTATTAATATAACAGCAATAGCTGTCATTGTTTCTGGTTCAAAAACAATACTTTTTCTTTGTTCTATCTTTCTTGCACCTCGAATCTAGACTACTCGTCGATTTTATGAGAATAACCAACGAAGACTCCTGATTCAGCCCACAACAACTTTGGCAACTTCTTATCTTGCAGCCTGGAGCAGCATGACTACGGTTGGTGCGCACCCGTTCGATTGCTCAGACGAACCAGGATTTTTGATAGCCAGTTGAACTCTGTTGACCTTGAGAGGACTCAACTTGACTCTCCCACTTTTGAAGTCCAGCCCGCCATCACAGTGGAAAACCTTCAGTGGGCGTCCGCATTGAGTATCAACCAACTTCAGCAACTCTTCAACAGCAGCAGCAACCTGCGACTTCTCTTTCAAACACTTAACAATGCGAAACTTTGAGTCATCATAGGTGAAACAGACGAAGTACTCAGATCCTCCAAGTGACTCCTCCTCCACCGGTCCACACACATCAGCCTTCATGACCTCACCAGCTCTCGTCGCTCGTTGCGTGTTAGACGTGAAAGAAGCCCTCTGCTGCCTCCCATCGCAAGCTCTTCAAAAGAAGTAATCTCACTAGACATTTATGCCGTGCTCTCGCAGAAATCTTTCCATGTGACATCTGTTTTGATGGTTCATGCTCTTGGAGAGACTCGGTCGATGACAGGTTGACTTTACTATTGGAATTACTCAATGCATGAATATGCAACTTGTATAACAATCCATACCTATCACAACATAAACGCACAGCGTTATCTTTGGCGACGAACTTGCACCTTTTGTCATCACCTCGCAAGGACGACCCTTTGTCCATAATATCAGCGAGTGACATCAAATTGCGACAACCATTAGGAACGTACAGTACGTTATCAATGTGAATTGAAATGAATTCATGCCTTATTTTACGTGAAGAAACTCGGGCCATCAGGCCCGCTCTTCCGTCTGACCACGCTGCGATCCTTTCACCATCTAACGGAGAAAGAAGGTATTACTAAGGCGACGAAGTCGATTTGAATTTAGCTCAGCCTTCATTTAGGCTTAAAGACAGGCAGCAAATCTACGAACATGGGACAGCCGGCTTTGCTTTCCCTACGAAGGAAGGCGAACTAAGGATTTTTTCGCTCTTAAAATCCGCGGCTTCGATGGGGTTTGAACCCGCGAACTTGGGCCACGAATGTGTCCTTCTGTTTATCTTCCGAGTGTGCCCACCTAGACAGTCGGAAACTCTCGTAACTTTCCTGCAGAGTGTCCAGCAATCGCTCCGGCATCAGCGGTGAGTCAACTGGCTCACGTTCAACTGTTGCATCCGCAAGACGAGCCCCTCGAATCTCGAAATATGACGGATTAAATCGTCACCCGGCAACATGCTATACCCGAAAAACGCAGACTGAACGGCATGTCCAGCTGGCTGTATTTGTTCAAAAACAGAATGAAATTTCATCCACATTTCCCTCGCGGACTCGCAAGCCAGCAATGAAGCTACTTTCGAATCCAACGTCTTCACTAAAATATGAGCACCCGCGAGATCTGCTTTGTCCCATTTTTTAAAACCTCCACATATCTTGCACGTTCCACGACACTTGCGCTTTCGAAAATGGTCTGGGGGTTTCTTCAACTCTCCAGTACACACCTTGTATGCTCCTTCAACTGCTCACAATAAATTCTTCGACGTGAATTTCCACGTGGCCCAATTAACCTTCCCGATCAGCTTCTCAATTCCGTGAAGAACCTCTATGGCGATCTCCGACAAAAAATCTCAGTCCACTGGACATTTTGTACTCACGCCGAAACGCGATTACATGAGTGCGAAGCGACTCGACAATTACGGCCGACCACGTGTCGAAAAAATTCACTTTATAGTGTTTCTCTTTTACACAGAAACACGCTATTCTACCATGTTGTTCAGGAAGTAAAATGAGAACACAATGATTTTAATTATAATTCATTAACACACAAAACTGAAGAATTACATTAGTACAAAAAAAACTTTGGTTGAAAAACACGCTCAAGAGCTACGTCTCGTGACTGACTGACTCTTGTCCTGCGCAAAGAGAAAACAAGAATGAGAGTGCGCATGTAGCGTTGTCATTCGATCAATGAAATCAACTTATTCAAATGCACTCACGTACAACACAATTTAAAATTGTTATCGCAACAATAATAAGTGGCAACACTGGATGACTACGCTATTTAAGAAATAAGTAATAATACTTCCATTTAGTTCAAGTTTATTAAAAACTGCAGCTGTAATGAAGACATGCAAATTATTTTTTAATTGTTTTATGAAAGTTTTTCCTTTTCAAAATTATCAAAACGTCAGTATTCTTCCTTACTTCATTAATTTTAGTAAATTTTATGAATGAATTTCATTTTAATTTACAATGTAACGTCACAGCTTCGAAAATTTTAAGTAGGGTAACATCTCCAAGGAAAAATAAAGAACTACAAACACTATTACTTCACTCCACACATTGACAGAGATATAGAAACTTTGGTTGGTGTTTCGAGAACTGTTGTTAATAGAATAATAATAAAAATTGATGCGAAAAAAACTAAAAGCAGGCCGCGTGGGTAAATTAGACAAGAAAATAATCACCAGTCATCATACTAATATCAGAATCGGGGATTTCTCCTTCAAAAATCGTGAAAATATGGTTTTCCGTCTGACTATGATGATAAACGTCGAGGGAGTAGATTTCCAAAAGGGCAGACC